GTATTTATTTTATTTGCATACTGGAGGCGTTTTGTTGTTTGTTTTTATTCGTCGAAAGCAATAGAGGCACTGATACACGGTCGACTGATGGGTCGGAATCATACTGCCAACAATGTATTCACTGTATTTTTGAGAATAGAAATAGTAGCTTAATGGGTAAATAAGTTAGTCCTAACGATAACAACTCAATCTACAGCCTCAAACCCGTTCTAGATTCTTGTGACTTTTTTTCCGACTGGAGATTTCGTTACACACCCATGCATTCGTGATTTTACTCCGAATTAGACCACGTGAAAGCTTTGTAAGTTGTTCACGGGCTGCGTCTCCTACGTGTCGATTATGATACTAATCAATGAGACTGGGCAACATTGCATAAGTGAATCGCTATTAAAGAACTGAAGTGGAATGTTACATAATGTCATTAGAATCAAGAATTGTGAAAGGATTTATGTCTAGTACAGGAATTAAATTGCGAGAGCCGTGCTGTGTTAGTAACATCAACGAAAAGACTTAATCCCTGTTTAACTTGAACGCGTCCTATCGATTCATCAGAGGCCCCATATTTTTCATAGACGTGTTATTTATTAAATAAGTCAGTTCACACCGCTCCGGTAGCCTAAGTGGTTAGAGAGTCTGATTCGGATGTGAGAGGTCGTGGGTTCGATCCCCGGTCGAGTCATACCAAAGACGTACAAAAATTGTACTAACAGGTGCCTCGTTAGACGCCCAGCATTAAGAGGTTAGTGTTAGGACCAGTCGGCCTGGTGTCAGGATAATGTGACTGGGTGGGGACATCATGCTACATGTTTTTGGCATGATGCCCCAGTGCTAGACATCACTGCCACACTGCAGACATCGTAGCGATATGACTGAAAACTTGTTAAAGCTACGATACAAATTATAAACACCACACCCTCAGAGCTTCATCTATGTCATCCAAATTTGGACCATATTCCATGGAACTTTATATAGGTCACTGAGAAATTGTTTTTCATCAAAATTTTCGAACGATCTGTAAGTGATAGTTTTGTGTATTTTTTTTTCCTTTTTCTCTTGCATTTAATTTAGTCAAAGAGGTAGGACTGTGGTCACAAAGACCAACATTAACACAAGCCACATTGTCTGATAGGTTGGCATAAATATGATCAATAAGAGTGTTTGATTTTTCTGTTACCCTTGTTGGTTTTTTACTAGTCGGACTAGGCCTAATGATTCAATAAATTCAATCCAGTTGTTTCTTATCTGAGTATTAAAAAGTTCCTTATTGACATCGCCATGTATATATGTTGCTTTTTATTCTCCTGTACAAGAACATTTTCATTTGTTTTAAATAAGTTATCATTCCAAATTGCTTTGGAGGAAGGTGGCCTCTAAATGAAACCAACTTGGAATGATTTTGCATTATTTTGAAATATTTTTAATATGATAATCTCAGATTCATATGACTCCATTTCAAGTCACCTTTCTACATTTATATTCTCCCTAACATACCAAACAAGTCCTCACTGCTGTCTATCTGTCCTTGCGTAATGGTTAATAGTTTATCAAACAAGTCCCCACTGCTGTCTATCTGTCTTTGCGTAATGGTTAATTGTATAATTAACAGTAAAATTGATTTTCATTGTGGTTAGCATTTAATTTGGTTTCAGTGAGTCCTAAAACATGAATATTATTTTCCTTGGTTGACAGCACTAACTTAATCTGGTCATTTGTCCCAGTATATATCGTACAATTATGTGATCTATGTTAAATCTTTTTCTATATAGCTTAATATGAATTATATGAATGTCATCATGCAATGGAGTCTCACTGAGATTGCTTAATTGCTACTTTATATATATATATTAACGTTTTCAAAGTCACATACAGACCATGAAACTCCGTTAATTTCTTGATTTACAATAGTGTCCAATGAATAATTGAGTCAAGAGACACACTAGGTACATTTAGAATTTGTTATAAGTGAAACACTTGTATCCTCCTCTTTGCCTGCTTCCTAATATGTATAATACATTGATTGGCAGGGTCGTTGTTTGTGACCAGCTTTATGGCATCTGAACCACTCAATCTGTTTGCCACGATGGCATACCTGTGTCACAACCCCAATTACTCCACAGTAGAAACAGTACACTTCTTTTTAATGCCTGAAAATGGGGACACACATGATAATATTTCTCAGTAGTCGAGAGATTCCTTTTCTACTGAAACGAATTTTGTCTCTTTTCTGAAGAGAGAAAGATGTGTATTGTGGAATGTAATGTATGATGAATTTTTCACATAGGTCAATTATCAGATCAAAGATGTGATGAGGGGGATTTAAAACATTAAACCTTTCCTCCTTTATTCGGCGTCTTTAACTAGGGAATGATCTCCCGCGGTGTAATTTGCCCAGTGTGGACGGGTAGATGGAACATTACAGATAACGCCCGAGTCATCTAGGTCAAAGACTTTAGGAGCTGTTTCATGTTTTGTACTATATCTAGTTTTTGGTATAGATACTGCTCCGGTGGCCTAGTAGTTAGAGCGTCCGCCTAGGATGCGGGTCATCGTGGGTTCGATTCCCGGTCGAGTCATACCAAAGACTTACAAAAATGTTACTAACAGCTGCATCGCTTGACACTCAGCATTAAGTGGTTAGTGTTATGACTGGTCGCTGGCGTCAGGATAATGTAAATGGGTAATGTAAATACTACATGTCTGCGGCATGATGCCCCAGTGCTAGATATCACTATAAACTGCCACACTGCAGAAATCGTAGCGTTATGACTGAAAATTTGTTAAAGCTACGTTAAAAATCATGATCACATAACTGCCTTTAGCATGGGTATTCTCATCCCTGTCTACATTTACAGATAATATGATCCAACCATGTGAAACAGTTCATCCCCTGTGTGTGTAGGATACATGTTTTATACAACGTAGCTGTTACAGTGGGTTTTTTTCTCGTGTTCTGCATATAGTATCGTTTGAACACTTAAACTTCATGAAGTCATGCAAGGTTCTGAATCAAATCTCTGTTTTACAAACTCAAACTTAGTGGATATATATGCATATTCACACTATTTATTCATCTTTGACCCTCGGAATTCATGGATAAATGTCAGCCATATTGGATAACTTCAAATCATCATCTATACCATTTATTTTCATTTTCACTCCTTACATGACTTTCCTGCCTGGTATCATATGTGTGGTCTTGATCTTTCGGTATGTCAGACAAACTAAAGCCAGTGTGGCTCTGATCTTCCAGTATGTCAGACATACTAAAGCCAGTGTGGCCTTGATCTTTCGGTATGTCAGACATACTAAAGAAAGTGCGGCTCTGATCTTCCGGTATGTCAGACATTCTAAAGCCAGTGTGGCTCTGATCTTCCGGTATGTCAGACAAACTAAAGTCAGTATGGCCTTGATCTTTCGGTATATCAGACATACTAAAGCCAGTGTGGCTCTGATCTTCCAGTATGTCAGATATACTAAAGCCAGTGTGGCTCTGATCTTTCGGTATGTCAGGCATACTAAAGCCAGTGTGGCCTTGATCTTTCAGTATGTCAGACATACTAAAACCAGTGTGGCTCTGATCTTCCGGTATGTCAGATATACTAAAGCCAGTGAGGCTCTGATTTTTTGGTATGTCAGACATACTAAAGCCAGTGTGGCTCTGATCTTTCGGTATGTCAGACATACTAAAGCCAATGTGGCTCTGATCTTCCAGTATGTCAGACATACTAAAGTCAGTGTGGCTCTGATCTTTCGGTATTTCAGACATACTAAAGCCAATGTGGCCTTGATCTTCCAGTATGTCAGACATACTAAAGCCAGTGTGGCTCTGATCTTTCGGTATGTCAGATATACTAAAGCCAGTGTGGCTACGATCTTCCGGTATTTCAGACATTCTAAAGCCAGTGTGGCTCTGATCTTTCGGTATGTCAGACATACTAAAGCCAGTGTGGCTCTGATCTTCCGGTATGTCAGACATATTAAAGCCAGTGTGTCTCCGATCTTCCAGTATGTCAGACATACTAAAGCCAGTGTGGCCTTGATCTTTCGGTATGTCAGACATACTAAAGCCAGTGTGGCTCTGATCTTTCGGTATGTCAGACATACTAAAGCCAGTATGGCTCCGATCTTCCAGTATGTCAGACATACTAAAGTCAAAGAATGATGCAAGAAAAGTTAAGTGTGCTGAGTAAGGAGCCATTAAGGCTGGTATTTAAATGTTTCCATGATTTTAATATTTTCAACTTATTTATAACAGTCATAAAAAGTATAAAATAAAATCCTTTTATATAATTAGCACATATCCATAAATTTTAAAAAAGAAACTGGCATTTGTATTTAAGAGGGTATCATCTGAAGTACAGATATTGTAGATGTAGTTGAATTTCAAATTTTTCCACTTCGGTAGCCATCTTGGTTAACCTAAAACCCTTTGTTTTGAACAGGTTCCAAGTTCATTTTAATAAATGAAAGCGTGCACATTAAATTTCACTTACACTAAGTTAATATCGTCATAAATCCATAGTATAAATTATGTCAATAGGTATTAGCATATCTAACACCAGTTTTTACATAAAGTTCATTGAATATTGAGTGTAGCTGTTTTAAAACCATCCACACATGGCAGCGATATTGTCTTGTCCAAAGGATCAAATAAAGTTATTGTGTTTATATTGTACACGAAAACTTCGATCGCTGGAGTTAACCGAATTAGTGTCCGCACGTAAAATTAACCATTGATATCCTTGCAGATAGTTAAAAAAAAAAAGGAAGAGAAATGCTCAACGAAAACTAGCCGAGATAAGGCGAAAAGAAAGAGAGAGAGAGGAATGTAGAGATTTACATGATAACCATCATAAATAGATGAAAGAGATGTATTTATCATTTAATAAAGTAAAACTGTGAATGGAACTTGCAATTTCGTATTGATACATTTACTTAACAGTGAGATAGAATATCAGCCAATCACAGACAAGGTAGAACAAACGCAAGGAAAAGTATTGTTTTATTTCTCTCAGCGGATACTCGAGTACGGGTTGGTATAAAACTTGGTAGTGGAAAGTATTCAGCGATTCTACTAAATATCGGCTTGAAGAATATTGTATGTGAGCACGGAAAGCTATCTGAAACTATATTACAGTCTCTTCAGCCAGGTGGCACTGTCTGCTTACGAGACGCTATCACGATTCTTAAAATTAATATTCTGTATGAGAGTTGCTTTTTACGGTATATTATCCTACAATGAAATACTATTCACCCCAATATATTTTGGAGCATGAAGTCGGACTTGAATTAAAAGACAGATTGCGCGGAAAGTTGCGCAAAGCAACAATTGAAAAGAGAAAGAAGTATGAGGAAACATTGGTTAAGATCGTATTAAAGCAAAAAAATTTCATGTATAATGACACGATAGTGACATTGGAACGCAATCAAGGTAAAACAAATGTATATCATGAAAGACAGGAACTTTGTAACAAAACAAGTTAAGAGTGCTATAAATGTTCAATTGTTCACTTGTTCTTATGGATACTGAAAGGCAAAACACGATCAAAGGATACGTAAGGACATCATCCAGATCAGCCTAATCCGACCGGGTATCAAATAAATATATATATATATATATATATATATATATATATATATATATATATATATATATATATATATATATATATATATATATATATATATATATATCACAGGTGAAAATGCTGAGTAAACTGTAGAAACACAACTAGTTCAAGATTCAGAGTTTGCATTAAAAATCCCGCTAATGAATTTAAAATATTATCGGGAAATGGTTCCAATAAAATGCGATTCATCCAATGACACAGTGAAACTGCTCTCGAAGATGCCTCTGGAAATCAAATCAATATTACAACATAAGAGCATATCAAAGTTCAATGTGAACATGGTTCTTGATGTATACTGTATTTTTCCAATTAATCCACAGAAAATCTCGATTGGGAAGAAAATGGTTTCTTAAAAATCGAATGCCAATATTTTGAAAAAAAATATAGAGAAGGTTGAAAAGTATGCCACAGCAGTTTCAGGATGGACTCTTGCAAGATGAGCGTAAGTTCATCTTCATATTCCTCCGTATAAGCATGAGTTTTGGGGATTTTATTCATGCTGTATGTAGTTTTAATTATCTTTACATTTTACCTACGTGATTAAGGTCTGTTATAGGGACATTAAAGAGCGCTATAAATAGATGATTACTTCTTTATAATTGTTAATAATAGAATTATTAGTAAACATGTTTACGTGATTAGGTATTTTTTCCCATTGGACAGATCGGTCATTTTCGAACTGTGATATCATTCTTGGAACTATTGTGAATCATTCAAAGGAATTCTGGACAAAGCCAATTTGATATCACCATTCTTGACGGACCAGTACAAGCCAGGTTTTGAAATTCATACGCAACTGTTCAGTATTTGGGGGACATTAATAGAACTCTTTCTGAATTATTTGGGATTCATTTGATCATGCTGTAAATTCCTCTCACATTTCATTTATAAATTTGATAATTAATTATTTAAGTTTTACAAAACTGTTCGGTTTTGTTTCTTTTGCTTCTTTCTGTAACTTTCTTTGTGACCTTATAGTCATAACACAATGTATTAGCATATTATGTACATATATACAATATATGATATATTATTTCTTTATTATTTTACATTGCAAATTTTTCTAACAACCCCGCACAATGTTCCCCATTAATGTCATAACAAGGTACTTCTATATTGCAGTAAATTGACAAAGGTGCCTCTATTGAAATTTGGCAAAATGACAAGTTAGCACTTATATATCCCCATTAGTGGTATTAGTGTTAGTTCTACAAGAAATAGAGGTTGTCGTGGTAGTAGTAGTTTTTGTTTTATTAATTGGGACATAATATTAGTAGGGTTAGTTAATGTGGTTGTTTTGAAGGAGGGGGATGACGATAATGAGAACTTGAATATAGATCAGTATGTGTTTAGTATTTTTGGAACACGTCAGTCGTTGTCATAAATTCGTAGTCTTCATTGTCGTTGGTGTCTTTAAATATGTTCTTACATCATTCATAATGACAATACAAACTTTTTGTGTAAAAATACCTTTGATTGTCTGTTACTCTTTGAATATCAAAAGTTACAACTGATTGCCATCGTGCGCTATTTTGAGAAAGTTTAATACCAAACTCTTCTTAACTGTATTGCGTTTTTGTACATCATTTACGTTTCAACAAATTATGTTATCAATTTGATATATTTCAACACTAGATTGAATCCATAATTCCATTTTTGTTAGCTCTTTAACACTAAATGAACCGAAAAAATATAATCCATAATCATGCTTTTTCAGAGCGTCAACAAGTACACATATTGTGTGTTATTGTAACTGGCGGAGATATTAGATATGGTGCTATATAGTCGGTATCGTGTGGGTTTTAGAGTTCAAGATATGTCTAAAAAGATTTGGAAGGAATTATGGGTAGGCACGCAATTTACTAAGCATACGATCTACGATTCAATCAAATAATTTAGCTTTTGGTTCGTTTTTCTTTTGTTAAGATGTTTTATTTTTAACT